TACCGCTGCAAGGCTCAGTCCTGGAAGGCTGCCCTCACATGGATCTTCCTCATTAATTTACTTGGACTGTTGGACAAGTCAGATGAATAACTCCTATACCGGAGGGTTTGCAGGGTTGTAAAGGTCATTAAACACCTCAGGTGGAGACAGATGCTTCCATCTGTCCTTATTTGAGAACACCAACCCATCCGCTTTCCCCTTGATATTGTTTTACATTCAAGCCTGCCCGCTTCCATACACTTCATTTGAATATGCATTAAGGACATGCATTATCCTGAGTTTCAGTCTTCTGCTCTAAGGGTTTTATTTATTCTATGCTCATACATAATGCTACCTGGGTTTTTTTTCATGCCTTCTATTTGAGGCTCTCTAAGTGTCACACAAACATTCATTAACTTCTCTGTGCTACCCTCCAGAAAGTAAGCTGCCAGCATATGCCTTTCCCCCTCCTCCCCCTCATCACCCATTATTCATCATTTTCAGTGCCTTCTCTGTTTATCTTAGCCTGTTGAAACTCTTGTGATGCTTCTCCCATGCACATGTGCGACGAAGGGCTGCCTGCTTTCTTCTTCCCTTGCTCTTACATGAAACAAACCTTTACAACCTACTGCCTGGTTGCTGTGCATTCGCTAACCAAAGACCCAAAAGCACAGAGCATCACCGCTCAGAGCTGTACAACCACCCCAGCGCTGCAGAGATCCCCGAGCTCCGCTCACCCACAGCTCCAGGCACTTTGCTCTTCATCATACTTGTCTAGACAGACTAAATGCTTTCTGTGAGACAACCCCACTGCTAGCCTGGAAAGGGGCTGCATTTTCCATACAGATGAATGCCGGAGCAGGTATGGCTCTGCTTAGATACTCCCTTGAGCGCAGGCATTATAAAAGTGGTTCATCATGCAGCATAAATGCACCGTAATGCTGTACCCCTTCCCAGGAAATCAATGGTGCTGCCAGGTTAGGAGATGGTTATGGGCATCTTACATCCAAGGCGAGAGAACGGCGTTCCAAGGCTGTGCTGCAGCCGAGGAGCCACAGACCCGGAGGGCAATGACAGACCCCAAACCGTGGCTCTCTCCGTGGCCGGCTGTGCCCAGTGCTGCCTGGCCAAGGGTAATGGGACATGGTACTGGAAACGCTCCTGGGACACCTGAGCCCCCCCGGCCCCGCTGATATGGAAAAGGGGTCAGTGCTGATGGTGATCCCCGGGGCGGGAATGCGGGAGGGTGTGCAGGGATGGACCAAATCCCCCTCAGCACCGCGGGGCAGGACCCCCCGAGCTCAGCCCGAGGAGGGTTCACCGAGGGCAGGATCCGGCGTGGGGTGGAGGATGCCCCGAGCGCTGCCCCCCGCATCCCGGCGGAAGGGGATGCCCTAAGCATGACCCGCTATCACCGCGGGAGGTGCCCCGGGCACGGCCACCATCACCGGGGAGCGATGCCCCGAGCCCGCTCTCCCCGGCCGGAGCGGCTCCCGCCGCATCCCGGGCTTGACCGTACCCCGCATCCCGCCGCGCCGGGGTGTACCCCCCCGCTTTACTCCCCTCCAGTAAGGGCGACCCCGTTCCCCCCCACCACCACCTTTCCCGAGCCTCCCGGGGCCGGCAGGACTCACCGCCCGCCGTGCCGGGGCTGCGGAGGCCGGGGAGGTGCGGCAGGGCTGGGGCAGCGGGCGCGGGGCTGGCGAGGCGAAGCGGAGCCCGGCGGCGGCGGCGGCAGGAGGAGCAGCAGCAGCAGCAGCAGCAGCAGCAGCAGGAGGAGGAGGAGGAGGAAGAACCAGGGGGAGCAAAGGGGGGCTCGGCCCCTGCGCCCGGAGCCCGCGGGATTCGCCGAGCTGCTGCCGAGAGCCGCCTCCTGCCGGTGCGCGGGGCAACCGCTGGGGGCGCCCTCGGGGCGGGGCCAGCAGGGAGGTGGGCCCCCCGCAGGGGCTGCTCGCAGGCAGGAGCCGTGGGTACTGGGGTTGGGGGTGCTGGGGTATGGGGGCACTGGAGTTGGGGATGCTGAGGTGCTGGGGTACTGAGGTTGGGGGGTACTGGGCTGCTGGAGTTGGGGGTACTGGTGTTGAGGGATACTGGGATGCTGGGGATGGGGGTATTGGGGTGCTGAAGTGCTGGGACACTGGGGTTGGGCGTGCTGGGGTACTGGGGTGCTAGGGTATGGGGGTACTGGGGTTGGGGGTACTGGGGTTGAGGGTACTGGGGTTGGGGTATACTGGGATGCTGGGGTTGGGGTTATTGGGGTGCTGTTGTGCTGGGACACTGGGGCTGGGCATGCTGGGGTACTGGGGTTGGGGGTACTGGGATTAAGGGTACTGGGATAGGGGTATACTGGAATGCTTGGGTTGGGGGCATTGGGGTGCTGGTGTTAGGGGATACTGGGACGCTGGGGTTGGGGGTGCTGAGGTACTGGGGTGGTAGGGTATGGGGGTACTGGGGTTGAGGGTATTGGGGTGCTGGTGTTGGGGGATACTGGGACGCTGGGGTTGGGTGTGCTGAGGTATGGGGATACTGGGGTTGGGGGATACTGGAATTCTGGGACACTGGAGTGCTGGATTTGGGAGTGCTGACATCCTGGTGTACTGGGGTTGGGAATGCTGGAGTATTGGGGTACTGAGGTGCTGGGGTACTGGGATGTTGGGATACTGGGGTGTTGGAGTGCTTGGCAGGTCTCCCAGGCTCCAGCCTGGGAGAGAGGAGCAAGAGGGAACCAGACCTCATCTGAGGAAGTGTGCTCCCAAACGAGCCTGGGGCTGGGTGCCAGACAGCGCTGCAGGGGCTGAGCGCCCTTTAATCTCTGCTCTCAGTAAGAGATGAATGACGGAGCAAGAGGGTGTCTGAAGATGCTTCACTCAGTACGTCTCTCCCACATGACCTGGATGCATTTCTGCATCTCACTGTGTCCTTTAATTTGGGACTATTAGCTCTTGGAAAGGTTAATTACGTTAGAGGAGTGGATCTCCATTCCCGTGTCTTCATAGCTTTATTTATTCCGGCTTTCATGTTTTGATTTCTTCAGCACTTTGATCCCTCGTTCCTGCCATCCTGAGAGGGAAGGAAAAGGGAATAACCAGGCTGGGACCCAAGTGTGTCCCTGAGTGACAGAAACTGAAACTAGGGAAGGGGAAATACATCTTACCGCCTCCGGATCTGTAGTGGTCCTGGCAACCCAGCACAACCCAGCCTTGCAAGGGCAGAAATGTCCTACCAGGACCCATGTGCCATAGAAGTGGACAGTGACCGTGTGCTGTGCTGCAGGGTTAACAGGCACCGGATCAGACCGTGGCTGCGTGCTGCAGGCTGCTATCCCTGGGACCTGCATTGCTTTCAAGGCACCGACCGCAGCTCCAGTGAGAAATTGCCCTAATTTGCTGCTATCATAATGAGGCCAAGAGGAGAAGCAGCAGCTCCTCTTTGCAGTGGCTGCTCACAAAGCCGCTCTGTGGGAAACCTGCCTGAGATTCAGCATGTGGGGAGGGTGGGAGGCAGTCCTAAGGCCTTGCAATAGCATCATCTTCCACACCGGCTGCTACCCCAAGCACAGGAGTTGCCCTCTGTGCTGGTTTAATTAGTTGCTGCTTGTAATTAGAGTTTATTTGTATTAATTAGCTTAAATGATCTATTTGTGAGCTGCTCGCAGTGCACTGTCAACATGTTCAGAGGCATACACGCCTCAAAGAGTCAGTTCCTGCCCTGAGAAAGCTCTGAACTAAAACTGGACAAACTGTCCCAATACAGCATGCCCTTTTTTATCCATTAAGAAAGCTGTTGCATTTAAACTTGATAAATACTTGGCTTTGCTGCCCCACCACTGATGGAGGAGTAAACAGGTAAAAATTAACCCTATTTAGTAACAGGGTGTTGTTATTAAATAACAATGATGATGCATTTATCCTGGGCAGAAGCAGGAGGTGGGTACCGCTTGCATAAGAGAGCTTGCAATGGGGGAGATGGAGGGCAGGGACAGAGCAAGAGGTGATGGACCAGCCACACAGTCCTTTAGGAAACAAGTGGCTTTGTTAAGAGAAGATCAGTACAACAGGGAGGGGAAAAGGGAGGAGGAGGTGGCCCAAATCAGATGAGGAGAAGCTAGAGAGGGCAGACGTGCAGTGCATCGGAGGGAGCGTGGTTTAAGGCTGCGCTCAGCATTCGCTCAGCTGTGATTAAAGCTGGTCGCAGCAGAGACGTGATGCTCACCACAAGTGGCCTTTATCTGCAGCAAGCAGCAGCAGCAATCGTTATTCTGCTTCCAAACTCCCTCGGTTCTGCCAAGTTGTGTTTCCCAAGGAGGCCACGATCTGTTGCCTCTGCGTAGAGGGATGTAAAACACAGAGGCACTTGCCTCGAGTAGGTGAGAGCAGGAATCTTCATGGAACAGAATGTCCTCAGGGAGCGTGACCAGCAGGTCGAAGGAGGTGATCCTGCCCCTCTGCTCTGCTCTTGTGAGACCTCACTTGGAGCACTGTGTGCAGTTCTGGGGTCCTCAACATAAGGAGGACATGGAACTGTTGGAACAAATCCAGAGGAGGCCACGAGGATGATCAGGGGACTGGAGCACCTCCCGTATGAAGACAGGCTGAGAAAGTTGGGGCTGTTCAGCCTGGAGAAGAGAAGGCTGCGTGGAGACCTCATAGCAGCCTTCCAGTATCTGAAGGGGGCTACAAGGATGCTGGGGAGGGACTCTTCATTAGGGACTGTAGTGATAGGACATGGGGTAACGGGTTAAAACTTAAACAGGGGAAGTTCAGATTGGATATAAGGAAGAAGTTCTTTACTGTGAGGGTGGTGAGGCACTGGAATGGGTTGCCCAGGGAGGTTGTGAATGCTCCATCCCTGGCAGTGTTCAAGGCCAGGTTGGACAGAGCCTTCGGTGCCATGGTTTAGTGTAAGGTGTCCCTGCCCATGGCAGTGGGGTTGGAACTGGATGATCTTAAGGTCCTTTCCAACCCTAACTGTTCTATGATTCTATAATGGAAAAATCCCCAAACTGATGCCTAAGACTGGAACTGAAGCGACTGTAGTTGTTTGCAGAGATGCATAAATAGCTCCACAAAGAGAAAGGGCAGGTATCCAAGAGCTGTTTAAGCCAGAGAGAAGAGACGTGGCTCAAACCAACAGCTGCAGGCTGAAGCCAGACCAATTGAGATGAGAAAATAGGCATTAATTTTATCAGAATGCAGTTGATTAGCTGCTGGAACAAATGGCTGGAGAAAGGGAAAGTCTTTCCATATGGTAGTGTTTACTAATCAAGATAAGATGCCCATCTATAAGATGTGCTTCAGCCAAGCACCAGTTCCTGGGTTCAGTGAGCAGGGATGGTGTGAAATGGTAGTGGCTCTGAGAAGATAAAGAAGTGACTCTGTGGTTCCACCTGACCTTCAGGTAATGAACTGAAGTCTGTGCTCTTAGTGTGTATTTCTAAATCACTCCTAAACAGCTGTGATGGTGCTCATGGGGTTGCCCCGTTCTAAATAGCAGCTGGGGAAGGATGGCCAGAGGATTGGCCAGACCCAGCCTATCTGGTTGGTTTTCTGCCCTGTCCTGCCAGTCCCGGTGGGGTATTGGTGTGTGTGGGATTGATGGTGCAGACCTGGGTTGGGTCTCTCTGCTTTTATCACCCCTGGTTGACATGAGGATGCTGGAAGCCTGGCTGGAGGTAGGTGATCCCCAGCCAGCATCAGTCAGTTATCCCAAGCTGACAAGGAGCGAGGGCTGAGATGGTGGTCAGGGCCTTTTTGGTGTGACTGGGGCAAACCATTTCCCTTCTGACTCCCAGTGTCTTCCCCAACCTTGCTTGCCCTTTTGGTTTGACCCAGGGTTTCTGCAGGGGCTCTCTCCCACTGGGATTACACTTGGGATGTTTGTGCAGTGACTTTATAGGAAGCAAGTCGCTCGCTGATGGTGTGAAATGTTCCCCTGTTGTTGTGACTGTTCCAAAGTCAGAGTGGCGTTTCTGCATCCTTGTCATTTTGAGGCTGTTTTGAAGGGGCCAGGGTGCCTCTTAATTTCAGTTGGTGCTGCCGTCACAAAGTCTGGATGTTAGTGGCAGTCTAGGGGAAGCAATGTGGGGTCAGCTCTTCCTCCCTGCTGGTCAGCCACAAAGCACTGACATACATTTGGTCAGCACTGTAGGGCTACTGGCAGCTACTTGGTCCTAGTGCAATTGCAGCAAGGAGCGGTCTCACCCTTGGATTGTGCTGTGAGCAAGGAGGAGAATTAGGGAATGCACAAAGTAAGAATCTAGTCTCATGTTGCTGCTTCTGTGAAAATGAGGCGGCTGCAGAACTTGCCGGGAGGAACAGGCACAAAAGCCAGAGGGTGAGATGTTAATGGTGATGGAAAGGAAGAGGAGAAACAGGACTGACTGGTTTGCAGTGATTGAGAGTTACCACCCTAGGAGTTACTGGGAGGCTGTAGCAAGGACCTGTCTCACTCCCTTTGCAAGCTGAAGAGCTGGTGGTGTGTTTCTCTTGGGCAAAGGATCTAAAGCAGGCGATGAGGGATTATTAAAGCAGGATTTCACCTTGAACAGGAGGGTCTGAGGGACTATGTCCAACAAGACTACAGGAGCTTTGTGCTTTCTCATTGAAATCAGTTGGTTTGGCCCCTCTGTGCGTCAGAGAGTGCGAAAGGGAGATGAAATGTTCCTTGTCTCTTCCATTTGATACACTAAAAATGCAGTGTATTGTGCTGGTGCTGTGGAAAGGCCCCTCCTGTGCCCAGCTGCTGCCCTGGGCACTACCCAAGCCATCTCTGCCTGTGTGCCAGGACATGCCCTGGGATGCTGCCTTGCACCCTATCCATCGCCCTTCCCTATGGGTAAGCCTCGTGAGGGCATGGGTGAATAGAGATATGTGTGTGGTGTTCCAGTTTTCCTGTGAATCCCTTGATAAATCGAAGTGATGCTGCTCAGATGGGCAGCAGTGAAGGACAGAGTCCTGCCTCCAGTAGAAGGTGGTAGAAGAGAGCAGCAGGCACCTTCTGGCAGGGAATGGAGTGGGGGCATTAGTGTCCCTAAGGCGATGCTCATGCTCTGTCTGGAAATGAGCTGGACCAGCCAAACTGTCCCTCTCTGCTGTGTCCTGGCAGGGTCCAGGCTCTATTGGCAGGCTTGGGGAGAAACATTAATGAAAACAAGTGTTTGGCTGGAGTTACTGTAGTGCCACAGACTTGGAGAAACAAGGAGAAAGAGCCCAGCCCTTCTTTGATCAGTGAGAGCAATCTGGTGCTGCAAGCTGATGCTGGAGGAAAAGATAAGAGAGCAGAAAAAGAGAACAGCAGTGGAAAGGAGATGAAAACACTGGGCAGAAGATCTGCAGCAGAATGAAATGAAAGGGAACCATCTACCTGCAGATAAGATGCTAGATTGTGCTTACATGTGCAGCCTGGACAACTTCTGATGCTATGGGTTTATACAGAGTTAAGACTTTACTGGAGTTAGAGACTCCTGAGAAGAAGTCGTCAACCCATAGATCTAGCCAGTATGTGGTCCAAATCCATCCTGCACCAATCTAAGGAAGACTTATTCCATCCCAAGTTGTACCTATATGGAGGGCCTTCTTCCCTCTTCACCATTGATTTCATACTTAAAATCTCTCTGTAGGAAGTCGGTGTGGATGCTCCATGATTCATTCCCATGAGGAATGAATTTCAGGTCCCCGTATGGTCACAGAGGCAGAAGAGGGAGCAGATATGTATTTTTACAGCAAGGAGAATGAAATTTGGCCTGGCATTTGGGGAATATACAGAGTGATTCTCCCTTTTATTGTCACAATCGCTTCCTCTTGGCTCCTAATTTGGCTTTAGGAACAAGAAGGAAGGAGGCTGCTGCTGAGCAATCCATCCCAGGGTTTAAACCCAGCCTACTGTGTGGTCTGTGTGTTCTCTGGGATTCAGCAGGGTCCACTTACTGAGGCCAACAGAAATAGCATCTCGTTTCCTGGTTTCAGAGGAGGTGCTAAGTAGGACATAGTTAAATTTGGGATTATTAGGAAGGGGAAAAGGGTAACTGTTTCTTTTGAAGTGCTTTGGCTGGAGAATAGATCTTTGGGCAGAGAACTGCAAAGAGCTGCCCTTTGTAGAGAGCTAGAGGGTGAGGTGTTTGCAGTAAGGGATCTGTCTCTGATGCAATGAATTATTGGGCAGAAGCAGGTATTTGGGAGCATTTCAAGCTTCTATCCATGCAGCTCCGGCTGGCACCCAGCCCTGCAGTGTGTCAGCCCAAGGGGCACCTTGCTGAAGTACTGCAGGGCTGTTCAGCAGCCACCAAAGGGCTGGGTTATGTCCTGCAAGGGACATCCTGGTGTGCAGGGATTTGAGGGTCACTGTGTGATAGTGCAGGTGGAGGGGGTCTTCCTGGCGGCACCCCTCTTTTAAGGTTTATCAGTGCTCCCTCAGAGACATCAAGTTGCACACAGGCTGGAGATACACCTCCATAGACAGCTGTACTCCATATAGAAGAATGGGAGTCTGAATGAGAGGCAAAGCCCCACAAAGAGCTGTCTGTAATTAAAAAGCTGCAGTGAGATGAAATAGGAGATGAAGAAGAGAGATAGTTGGAAGTGCTGAGGAACAGAAGCACTTTCAAGTGTGTTACTGCAGGGATAACTGGAGGTTTCACCAGTGGCCTGATACTCTCCTTGTGCTGTCCTTCACCAGGTGACACACGCTGTGCAGCCTGGTGAGCACCATCGCTGACCCCAAAACCTCCAAATGCTGACAGAGGTGTGAGCACTAAACTCAGTTTAGCCACAAGGGCTTTAAGTCAGAGCTCATATTCCTGCCTTGGCCTGATGCACGCTGTGATGTTGCTTTATTGTTGCTTGTGGGTAGACTACAGCCCACTTTGCTCGGGGGTAGGTGATGAGCCACTTGTGCCCAGTGATGCTATGGAGGTGGCGAAGGGCCAAGTGCTGTCATTGGAAACCAGCTGTGAATTAATACACGGTGTGTGATTTATGTGCTTTTTAAATGCATTCATGTCCTGTCGCACTGGCTGCGGCTCTTGTCACATTTGGTGTTCTCAGAACACTTATTAGCCTTACAGATCCCTTGATTATTGCCTTCTCTTTTATAATTAAGCCATGAAACTCAGCATGGTGCAGCTTATGTGGTATTAATTCACGGATGGCGTATTCTGCCTGTGCCCTAGGATAAGGCTAAATGCTGGCAGCTGGATTGCTCTCAGCACAGTTGCTATCCTGAAATGTTTTAATGTGATTATAACAATCACATCCTGTGTGCATATGGGCAACTCGGGGCCACAAGCAGTGGTGGGATGTGGTCTGATGTCCCTAGGAGTAGGATATGCCCCTGGCAGTGATGTGAGATGGGGCTTTCTCCTGCCCCAGGTGCTGGCTGATGCTCTCCAGGTCAGTGCTATTAACTCTGCTTTGGTGCTAATGCAGCCCTGCATGCTCCCCACTCCCTGCTCATCCTTCCTGGGACATGCCTGTGAAAACGTGAATCTTGTGAGTGCTGTTTCACTCCTTTTTGCTCTGGCTTTTCTTCATGTGAAGTTTAAGCTGAACCCAGGATTTCATGTGAGGCTGCAGCTCCATGTCCACTTTCTGTCCACAGCAGCAGAAAGAAATGGCTGTTTGGACAGTGAAAACAACCTCCCAGCTGGTTGTTCCTGCCCTCCATTTAACAGCGTGTGTGGCCATGTGGGGAGCTGACCAGGGAACAAAAACACCAGAAACCACGTCTGTTCTACTTAGTTCTCTTGTTTTCTCTCTCCTGGGAATTAGCTGTAGGAGTGACTATGCTGAAGGAACTGGAGCTCAGAGCTACTGGGAAGGAAGTCACTGGAGTGACATAACAGCAGTGCCCCAACCAGCGCTGATCCAGAGGTATCAGTGTGAATGCAGACTTCATCAAGCCTCTGCTGGGTTGGGTGTTGGACTGGACCTTGCTGCCTGAGTCCAAGCAGCTCCACAGCTCTGAGGCTGGAGGCAGAGCAGGCAGTAATGGGCTCTAGCAGCTCTGTCCTCATGGCTCTGGTCTCTACATGTGCTGAAAGCCCTACCAGACTTCAGATGTGGGGACTAAGTGCTGTGGTGACAGCTATTGAAGAGCACATGTATCAGTGTTCTTCGTCTGCTCTGGATCATGCCCTCATCTACACATTCTTAGGTGCCGTGGTTTAGTGTGAGGTGTCCCTGCCCATGGCAGGGGGGTTGGAACTGTGGTTGATCTTAAGGTCCTTTCCAACCCTAACTATTCTATGATTCTATGATACACAGGACGTGGGATATCTCCATGTACAGCTGAATGGCTGTGATCTTCATAGACCACAGATACCACAATGCAATGGCAGTTCTGCTCTGCTGAGTGCATGTTAGCTATACACATATGAGTGCTGCTCAGGTTATTGATTAGTACTAATCAAACCATTTCTATAGAGACCTGAATGCCTCTGTTTCAAAACACAATGCCAAAACGTATGTGCAGGATGTAAAGCCGTAGTGCAGAAACTCTTTGAGCTCAGATGTTTCCATGGAGATAGGTCTTTGATCTCAGTGTAATAAATAAAGGGTGGAGAAGATGCTCCCAAACTGGAGAGGCAGGCAAGGCTGATCCCTACAGGGCAGAAGTTCTCAATGGGAATTAAAGTGACAGGAGGTGTCTCTTTTCCCCCTTCATGATGCTATGTCTGTAGTAGCAGGGAGGTTGAGCTGTCTGCCCGCCAGCACTGCAGTGTATGCAGAGGATGTGCCTTTCATCCTGCCAGCCAGACAGTGCGCTACACCTTTGAGCTGGCTAATTTAGAGCTGCTGGAAAGTCAGACCTTTGTCTGCACAGCAGTATTCACCCTGTGCTGCAGGGCTTAGAGAGCAGCAACACAGGGGTTTCATACCAGTGCGAGACACACTCGTTTTATTGACTGTGGTGAAGGAATGTGAGGAGTAAGAACAGCAAGGAAAAGTGCTGCATTTGTGGATAAAATATAAGGGGAGAGGGGGAAAATAACATTTTGCTGCGGCACAATGTGCAAAATAGAAGTGTTTAATATGCTGATATGGAGATAGCGACCAGAGGCAACAGTCAAGTTGGTTTTATCCACGTGGATGAGCTTTAACTGCATTGGTGGTGTTAGGGCTGTCAGCAGGATCAGGGCTTTTGCTCCTGGCACTGTAAATCGAGGCTTCAGTGGTTGGGGCCGAAGAGAATTCATTAGGAAAGAGCGTAATTGGTTTCAGTAGGCACTGGGAACTGCTGCTTGGGGTTAAGTGTGGTCGCACACACTGTGGTAGGATGTTTCATACTGCGATGCGCCGCATCGGTAGCTGAAGATGATCCCTTGTGTTCGAGTGCCTGGATCCACCCATAGACCTCCTCCTGTGGCACAGTGGCTGGCGTGTGTGCTGCCGAGCTGTGTGTGCATTTGTGGCTCCACTGGGCAGCCGGGTGGTGGCTTTTCCTGGTCACTTCTGATCTGTTCACAGGATGTTGAGAGATCCATCCCTTTGTTTCCTCTACCAGCATGGCCTCAAACAGGTTTTTTTGCAGTGTGTAAGAGTATGTGAGGTGAATGACTTACTGTGTACAGCCTGTTGCAATACTTTTCCTTTCCTTACATTAAATTTCCTTACTCAGATGCGTTGTGCTCTGGTTCTCAGGGTCTCTCTGCTTTAGGGCTTTGCAATACTCCACCCAGCAAAATGGTGTCGAAGTACCTATTACGGCTTCCTTGCACCCAATCCCACCACTGCTTTCCCTGGAGCAAGTTGACCGCCCAGTGTCCTGCTGGATCCCATCTTAACCATCACTTTATGTCATTTTAAAGGTCTGATTTAAATACTGTATTTATAAGCATATACGTTGTTTGCAGCTCTGAAAATGTCACCACCTTTCCCAAACTGCAGAAACCTTCAGCGTTGAACACAGCCCACGGGTTCACTTCAGAAGCTGATGGAGGGCGGGTGTTGCTGATTTTGTTGTTGTTTCAACTGACCTCACTGGAAATACTGTCAGGTAGCTCCCTGTTTTTAAGAAAAGGACCATTTAGCTGAGAAAACCGTGTTGTTGTCTTATGCATTAAATCACTGGGAAGAAATTCAGTTGCAAGAGCATGCAATATTAAAGGTACATTGAATCAAACTCATTTCCAGTGGTTTCAGAGCCTTGTTTTCACAGGGCTCTTTGTCAGAACCTAAAGCATAAAATACACTGACAGGTCACAGTTGACGTTACTAGAAGGTAATGAAAACAGCATTTTTAACCTCTATTACAGAGACAAGGCGAGATTGCTGTGTAGTCATAGCCGTTTGTCTCGCGGCTGTGACAAGCCTGCATGGATGCTGTCACTTAGCAACCACTGCCATTTGTGTTCCAACTGCAGCTTTTCTGTTGTTGGCACGTAATGAGTTGTAATCACAAGATCAGTCTGAGAGTTGTAATCACAAGATCAGTCCCACCAGGGGTGTTTGTCTTGGAGAGCCATGGGCTCCGGGGCTCACCTGTGCCCCTTGCTCAGCCTGCATAAGGGCTAAATCAGGATTTCATGAGTGATGGCTAATGCAGCTCAGTCAGGGTTTGTTTTGGAGCTGGTTTGGCTGGGCCAAGTCATGTTCCAAGCCTGAATTCACCACCTGTCAGACCTTGCTCTGCAGCTCCTTCATGCTGGTCACAGCACAGCCCAGCCCAGAAGCTGCTTTGAGGTCAAAGCTCTAAGCGTGTTGGTGGTGATGAACCAGCCAAGGCAAGCGTCGATGTCCATGCGCACAGGGAGTCAGCGGAAACTGGAACTATGAGGACCAAGAAATAATGAAATGGGAGAACTGAAAGTATTGTCTATCCTTTAAGGGTAATTCTCACCTATCTTGCACTGAAAAGGAATCCTGCCACAGTTCAAGCCCTGATGCTCTGCAGGAGCTGTTTAAGGTTGTGGTTTTACTTTACTTTCGATCTGCTGTAATCAGGCAATGTCCCTCAAAGGAGTGGGTGCACTCTGTCCCAGACAGCACGTTCCTGCCCTTGCACAGTTTAACAACTGAGCAACTGCAGAATGAGCTGGGGAGTAATTTGGTGTGGATGGGTTTGTTTTGGAGGCAGCCATGTGAAAGACATCTTCACAGCTCTGTTATAGGTTGATGGTAAATAAACACAATTAAGCTTCTGTGCTCTAAGCAGAGACTTGGTATTGACATTACAGATGGAAATACTGTTTTCTTTGGTTTCATTTTGCTGTAACTGAAACAGTTGTGCAATTGCAGCGGCTCTTGATGCAGACTGCTCATTAGCCCTTCCATCTGGGGATGAGTTCTAAGTGTACCCATGATGGGTGTTTGCAGACCCCTGCATGCTTTCATCAAAGCTGGTGTCGTATAGCTCTATTCCACCTTGTCCAGACAGACACATGGCTTCTTTGAATGAAAGCTCTTCCTTTTCTCTGTGTGCTGGCTTGCAAGGTTAGAGGCAAGATGTGCCTTGCCTGTGGAGGAGAGCGTCTGACGCAGGCTGAGGTCTGGCAGTGTTCAAGTGGTGCTTTATTTCTCAGCAGTGGACAAAAACCACTGCCCAGGAGGGAAATGACACAGAGCACACAGGTGCTGCTACTGATAAACTTTTTCCATTGTGAACTGTTGATAACTTCTGCAGTGAAGCTGGTTGATGAGCTTCCTGTTTAACACATGGGTTTTAGAAGCCTTGATGAGCGTATAGTGAAAGGGAGAGCAAATTTTGTTAGAGGCAGACAAAAGAAATGGCAAAGATGTGCATGAGCTCATCACAGATCACATATATTGAAGCTAAAGCAACAGCCCTAGATATTTATGGCCCATTTTTGACTGAGTTGTGCAATTAGTATAATTAGGCAAAGAGTATTCTTTGGGTTTTAAATGTCCAGTGTATTAAAACAGAAAATCAATAACATCTGTTTTGGCAGCTTATAAGCTGTTGCTTGTGTAGGGCTGAGCCAAAGATGTTTACTTTCTCTTGGGTCTGTTTAAGTCTGAGCTCAATCCTTTCTTCAGAGCTTTGTTGAAAGCAACTCTAGGAATTTCATACCTGTGTACAGATCAGACAACAGAACTTGCATTGCCCTTGTGCAGATAAAAAAGCTAAAATGAGTTTTCTAATTTTCTTCCATAGAACCAGCCATTGGAGACATCAGTTCTTCTTATCTGTGATGCTCTGCACTGATACCACTTGTATTGCTGCTGCCTGCTAACCACAGCCCACATTAAAGCAAATGACAGTCCTGCACCTCGGTACCTCTTGCATTAAACAAGGCCCGTGTCTGGCCATAGTCTTTGCTGAAATCAGGCGGTGGGTGTGCTGAGAAGTCTCTCTTGGTGGTGCCTGCCTCCTGCAGGAGCTGTTACAGCTACACAGTTGATGGTATGGCATCCATCCCAAAAAGGCAGCTCTGAGCTTTCTCCTGTGTCCAGAACAGCAGGCCAGGTACCTCCTCCTTCATGTCATTGGAGTGCTCAGTGTGTGACAGAAGCAAGCTGGATGTGGAGAGTTTGTGGAAGGACTGCTATCATCACGTCATGAAGTGGTAAGTAGCAATAGCACTTGTTGAAGTGAAGGCTCAGTCTGCGTCTGAGAGGAACAAGGCTATTTCTCTGGACTGTCTCCTTGAGAATTAAAGCTCCCCCCCTTAGGTGCACCACATAACCACAGCTCCTTGGCAAGACATAACACATGGTCCAAGTTCTTAACCCAACAGAAAGCTGCATGGCTGGGATAAAGATCTTGTGGAGGTGCAAAAAAAGCTTTGGTAGGTAAGAAGCAGGTTGAAAATGAGTTAGCAGGGTAAATGGGGAAGGGCATGAATGAGTTCTTAAGTGTGGAAAGATGAGCATGCTAGAGAGGGTACTCCAGCATGATGGATTATTCACATTAGTAGCTGTTGGTGTGAGTTTACAAATTTGATAGCCCATTTTTCAGTTCAAATCCTACTGCCATTGTCCTCTGTAGAAAGAATTGTGGGGGTTTTTAGTTTGGTTTCATCTCCCTTAACTCCTCTAGTCCCTGGCATTTGCTCCTTACACTGCTTGGATGTTCATGACCTTTCATGTTTCTCCCAGTTATCAGGTGCGGGATGTCAGTACAAGTATCTCAGTGTTCATAAGGCACTACTATAACTAGAGCACCAGAGAAAACAATGTAAGGCCAATGTACTGAGCTCAGAAGACAGGTAACTACAGAATCAGCACTGAGTCACCTAGTTGCTCGAGGTGGAGACCTGTTTTCAATGAAAGATGAAATGAGTCCCTAATTCCCCTTCTAAAGATGAGGCCCTCCCAGTTCGTTGTACATCTGACTTTTAGTGTACAAGCATCCTGTATATAAGCAAAAGACTTTGGACTGCAAGTGGGCAAAAGGTATAAACTTAACAATGTCATCATCACCCCAGCTAATTAAAGAGCTCTATTAAGAATTAATAGGTCTGGGAGTCAAGAGACCCTGGTAAGAAGCAAGTCACTGTAAGAAGTCACTTTTTCAATTTGCTATTTAAATAATTCCTTGGAGTCTCCTAAACTGCACAACCCCAAAATCCCAAGAATTCCAGTGCCGAACAGGAAGAAGACATTTACTCGGCAACCTGCTGTCTCCTTTCTGCTGATCTGACCTACTGCTAGCACATAAAGCTAGTTTTGGAACTATAATCCCTTCACCAGACCGGAGTGCTAGAACTCCACAAACAGTCCAAGCTTTTTAAAAGCAAATAATTTCTCTCTCACTAACCCTTCAATTTCTGAGAACAATGCAGTGGCAGGAAAAGGCCTGATTCTTAATATCTCCTGTCTTTTGCCAAGTGTTGACCCTGCTCAGGTAGCAAAAGCAGAGCTACTTTCTCCTAATAACAGCTGCTGGTACAACACCTAGGGGCTCTGACACACACAAAGCTGTGCATAGCATGCTAGGTAAGTGTGCTGACTTCATTAAGAGGCACAGAGTAAACCTTCAACCTCAGCAGCAAGAAGTTCAAAGTACATCTCATCCTATTGTACTGCTGCAGGGATAACACTGAAGGAGGAGACTCTGGAAGTTTTGTTGTGTTCCTGCCTCTACATAGACTGCAGGAGGATAAAGGATGCTTAGTAACAGTGCTGGAAAGGAATATAGCATGGCTTGAGCTACTGGTAAAGGTACTCCTTTTGTACTCCTCTTTTTTAACCCGTATGTTTCAGGAAGCTTCTTAGCACGTGGCAAGACATTGGAGTAACTTACAAACTACAGCATTCCCTTAGTTTTTTAAACAAATTGGCAAATTTTTACTTAGAAAACAGCAGCTATAGTGTGAATGGCAACACTGCTTTCTGACTGGTTACCAAAGCTAGGCATAGATCTATTTCATCATGAAAAAGCTGCTGGTGACAGCTTCTCTTAGTAGTTAGAAGCTATCCTAGTTCTTTAAGAATAGAGAATAGGACCACTTGAAAAATTCAGCAAAATGAACTTGGTTTTGGCTTTCATCAAATGCAAAGTCACCTTCTTGGTATCACTGCTGAGATCAAACAACTATGTTATCTATGGAAGAAAGCCTGTAATATTAAGGATGATCAGCTTTTGACTCATTAACTATCACCTTCTGCTCTAGACCTCAAAATGCAGCAGGGAACCAGAGAACTCTGCTTTTTCAATGGCGATACAGACATGGTCAAAACATCCATCCCTTAAGACGAAGTCTTCAGTTTTAGCTACTCTGGCTCTAAGAGGAACACGCAACAACTTGTTTTCAGTTACTGTTTTGTTATCTAAATGTTCCCTTATGTAGGCATAGCCTGGTGCTTTCTTAGAAGAGGTAGTACTTAAAGAAAAAAGAAAAGAGCATTTCTTCATGCGTTTACTTAAAAAACAAATCACAGTTTATTGGAAACTACACTTTTATTTAACATCAGTATTAAAACAAGGATTTTCTAGCCCCTTTAAAAGCTAACGAAACAATCTTTTTTCTCTATTCAGTGTAACGCTTCTTTCCATCCTCTGAAGAAAGACTTCATGGTAGCAAAAAGTTCTCCTCCAGAAGAAAACTGCTTAAGCACTGCTCCCTCAAAGCAAAAGGTACTTTATCTTCAGTAACAGTCAGCTTCATTTTCCTCTATGGTCCCTACAGTAGCAAGGATGTCCTGTAAGAGAGACTGAGGGCTTTTCTCTACGTGGTCACTACTTTTATTTAGCTCATCACGTAGCTCTTCTAAGTCTATTGTACCCAAAGCTATCATCATGCTCTCTGGATCTTGGAAATCCACTCCATTACCACCATCTGTGGGGAAGTTTTTGGCCAGAGAACCCTGCCTTAGTGTCCTTTGTAACCAGGCAATGCTACGTCCTACAGGTGAATCTTCAGTCTCTCGTGAATCCCTTGGGGTAAAAGTTGGATAGAAATTAATCCTTAGGTTAAGCAGTAAATCACAGGCTCTCTGACCTACTGGTTGGTCACAGTCACACAAAGACCGAAACAAAAAGCTAAACAGGTTTGCTCGGCAAAGTATCTGCAGCACCTCATTCTGATGAATGGAACTTGTGACTGCAGATGAGACAGGAGCATATGGGCATTTAGGAAGGCCAAAATGGCAAAATGCATGATGACAGAAAATGTCAACCAGTTCCAAACCACCAAGCCTGACTTCCCAGTCTAAGTCATGTTCCACTGTTTGGATCACTCTAGAGACAAACTGCTCTGTATCTTCCAGTTGACCTGTGCAGCCTTGTCTCACCCACTCGATGAAGATGCTGATGACAGCCCTCCTAGGAAAGCCCTCTGGGTCTGTTGACAGGATTTCTTGAAGCTTTCCTATGGTTTTCTAAATGTAGAAAGACAAAGAGAAAGCACAATGAAGAGAGGAACATGCAAAGAAACAAGTCTTTTCATTACTGTGAGGTCTTCCTGCATGAGACAAGATTACTGCTGTACTACTTTCTCTTCACAGGTTAACTGATGTGTAGCTCTGCTCAATTCTGCAGCGGACTACACAAATTCATCATACCTCTTTATTACACTGATTCTCTACAACAGGTGACTCTGGAGCAAAATAAGTAATGAAGGCCAAGTGTCCCACAGCAGTCACAGCACTTGCTCGCACATAGCTTTCTGGATCCTCCAGAAGATTTTCTGTAAGCCTTGGCACCTCTGAAGACAGGAGAGACTGCCTGAACTCATCCTGGTCTGTAAACAAGACAGCAATCCAAAGAAGCAAGGCTTTATTCTCTCAGAGCATGTAACTGTTTCCAATGCAAACAGTTCTTTGCGTCATACAAGGATGCCCACTGACTGCAGGGACAGCTGCCAGTGAGCTGAGCCACTGCAGAGACCAGGCAGCTGCTCACAAGAGCACAGATGCTCTGTGTCAGGCTCCCTATTTTCCAGCAGCTTGGTGACTTTGAGTCAAGCCCTGCTAGACACTGGAGCTTGGAAAAAATCAATTTACAGTTGCTCTACTGGCAAGAAAAAACTTTCTCCACGCAAGTGGGGACACGGTTTCAGCCTCATCAAACGTGTGCCTTTCCTTAAAGGTGGGAAAAATAGTCTTCCTTTCTTGTTCTCAAGGCATATGGCAAAGAAAAATAATGTAACTGCAGCACTGAAAGTGGCTGCAGGGTAAACTGCTAAAGCAGCTGAGTGTGCTGGATACTTCCTTTGTGCCCTAGGGACAACAGTAGTTGACAACATCCCTCTCCTTCCCAACATCACAGAGCTACTGGAAGAGAATGAGCATTCCCTTAGTGATACCTGCTGCAAAGCCTGAGCTACCAGTGAAGTGGAAACATCGATAATTAATCTAAAGCATGCAAAGCAGATCAAGGCCTTTAGCCTCCTAAAGCCCAGACCACAGCCTGCTGAGTGAAACTGAGCAGACTCTACTGCAGAGCAAACAGGAAAAATGGGAAAGTTTTACCAGCCATTAAGGATCGCTGCCTGCCTTGACAGACACGTCTCTCTACACATGACTGTCTTCACACCCCTCAGTTTAACTGACCAAAAGAAGGGCACAGCAATTTGAATTCAGCAGAACAGCAGGAAGAGGTTATTAAGCTTTTTGTCAGATATTGATCATGATCAAAGAGTAAAACTCTTGACACTTTCTTTTCTTAGTCCTCTAGATACATGTCAGAGGATGCTTCATCAGCCTGGCTGACTTTCGTAACATTAACATAAACACTCCTTCAATCTGAAGCATTAGATCTCTACACCTACCTGTCAAGCATTTAATCAGGACAGTGAGGAACTCCAGAGAAGAATCTCTTACTTCCCAGCAAGGACTGCACAAACGCTTCTGCAGCACCAGAAACACATCTGTGAAAGCCAAGTGACAAGCTTGAATGGACATGAAAGACAACCTTTGCTGAAGCAGTTGCTGTACAACCTCTTTACCATTTAACCTTATGCAATCCCTTTTGTTGCTACTCTATGCTTCTCCCAGAGTTCTTCAAAACACTACTTGGGCAGCTAAACCTAAAATCAGCATAA